TGTACAAAGTTTCGTTTGAATACGGCACAGAGTAGGAATATTTATTTTGAAATTTTCAAAATATCGGGTTTTTAATTGCACGCACTTTTATACCTCGATCGATGCACGTGCAAATCATGCCGACCTACAGAATCAATTTCCGCTTTTTCCTAACAGCGCGTTGTTTTGATGTACGTTCCATGGGCCGCGCTAAAAATATAAATATTCTGTAAATACCGAAATAAAAGATGAAAACCTCAAGACACAAGCTTGAAAATAACACTATAAATAGTGTTTTCGATTCTGGTTCCAATAATATTATTACGAAAAAGATATGTCCAAAGGGGCCAAAGTTATGTTCGGCAAAATATATGGCTAGTTTACATTATTATATTATGAAATATGATGCCATACTTGTATTAAAATTCGCGTCGAACTAATGTTATTGTATTAGGCAAATGAGTAGAATGCGCTTCTTCGAGGTCGACTTGTGGCAAGTTTAGCAAATGAGAACCATACAATAATGGTTCTAGTTCTTGTTGGTATTTTGAACGCACGCTTTATCTTTAGAAAAGCTACCACAAAGCTTTTCGAGCGGATTATATTTCGCATAGTACTAAAATTTCAGCGGCCAGCGCTACGCGAATTCTCTTAATTCTAGTACTGCGCGGATTTTAATACATGTATTTAAAGGTATATTGTCGACATTTGACTAAAATTATCGTAAGGAATTAGGAGAGTTTGTCCTTGTTTATATTTCAATATATTGTATAAATTCGCTGCCTCGCTGGGTACAAATTTATGATTGTATAAATTCGCTGGGTCCAAATTTTGTGGTTTTCGAGTCGTTACTCAAAGAAAAACACATTAATTCAACATGCAAGAAAGTCCAGAGTACGACAACATAAAATCCATAAGAAACCGGCACAATTCTTTGAAAATTCAACGAGACTGTGTAAAATATAGTTTGATCACTCTGTGAAAAGCCGCCATTGGAGTTCGGAATTGTGCGCGTGCGTACAAGTGTATGGGCTAATAAACGAAAAATGTACCACAAGCATGGCATGAGTCGGCTATTACGTACATATATACAAGCTTATTACTATACTACCTAAATCATCGAACCGAGGGAATCGATGGGATTTTGGCTTAATCGTTGCACCTTGAGCCTGCGATGAGCTAATGCAAACTCGATTTCTCGACTACGAAAAAAACAGAAAAAGGGGGATTTAAGACACTTGGCCTACAGGCCAGTGTAATTAACCATGTAATTATTACTATAATAATTCTTAATCTAATTGTATTTTGTATTTTATCCTTTTAATCTTGTAAACCGATGTAATTCAGTCCTTGACTGCTAAATTGGTCTTTTTAATAAATCTTATAAATCTTATATATTTGTTTACTGTTTGAGAAAAGATGAGATTTCTGAGTTTATTATTCAACTTGTTCAAGACATGTATATTTGTAGTACTTCACCTCGGCTCAGTACTATAGCTAGAATCAGTCAAGGATAAAACTGATTGCATTTTTATATGGTGAGCTGTTATCAAAATGCTACTGGGATTGAGTTATTGGATGATTGTTTTGTAATTCATAATCAGGCATCTCCAGATGAACTTTTTGGTAGCAGACTAGCAATCAATACTGTATTGAATTTTTTTACATGACATGATCGATTGTTAATTGTACTGATAATATAATAAAATCTCTTTTATCTGCATCTATTTGAAAAATATTATGCTGTACTATAGGTTACCTTGAGCTTATGGAAACATTAAAGATTGTACAACACTGACATTGAATAAACATGGTGGTCAGTGTGGGGATAATGTGGCGACTGTGGTTAACAACCATATAGTGGTTACCAATCAGAAACAAATTTAAAGAGAGGAATAAGTATAGAAGAAACAATACAGATTGGATGCTGATGAAACAAAGGTGGAAGAATGCATAGCCTTTTAATAACAACTCGCATTACATAAGAGCGTAAGTATTGTTTATGAGTTGGAATAATTTGATTGACTTGAGAATAGTTGATTGACTTGGGAATATTATCCAGCACTGAGAGTCTTATGTCCTTAAATAGAAACCTATAAAATGTTTTCTAGTTCTATTTCCTGTAGCTACTTCATCTATTTCAATATCTTTTTGTATGGATATATGATAACTGATTTCAAGTACCATGTCATGCCATGTGAACGAAAATGTAGTATAGCAGTTTTAACATTCTGGCTAAAACAGTTATCTGGCCAACATTGAGATATAAATACTGATAGTTTTGGTGAAGATAACATTACCATCATGTAACATAGTCAGGGGGAAAATTCTCTAATCCTTACATCTGCTTTGTTTTGAGAGTTTTATTAGATGTTTAACAATGCATGATATTACATGTGTTGCATTTTTTTATATTATATTATAGTAAAGTATGAACATCTGAACATTGGTGTGCTATAAAGCATTATATGCTATCCAGATGATCTTGATACGCGGAACAGTACTGGCACTAGTTGTCAAATAGAAATCCATTTTATGATTAAAACAACTGAATATCTCCTGTAATATACTTTATTTCGATTCCATATTTTTGTCAGAGCTATAGTTCTCATAACCAAACATAATTACAAAATTTCAACTAGTTTCATAAAGAATAACGAAAGATATAATTGACTGAATACATCGAAATGGATTTCTATTCGGACAACCCTTTCTGAGCGCTGATTGGCTAAAATACGAACACGAGATCACCTGGATATATTGAATTTTTTACAACAACTAGGTACAACACTTTTGTCCAGGTGGCTATGATGCTGTGCAACAGATACTGCCAAGAACAAGCACTTCAATATAAAACTTGGTTCACACCAGCAACTTTCTACAAGATTTGTATTGTAACTATTGTTCACACTAGCAACTTTTTTCAGGGCTGTGAGCTTTTGCAAATAAATGCCACAACAGAAAATACAATTGCTATTGTATTTTCATTGATGTTCCTACATGAATCATGAGAATAAATTGCTAGTGCGAGTAAGGGTTAATGGCAATGTTTAGAACATCTGACTCAAAACAATTTCTTGGAACAACAGTATTCTACATATACAATGTTATCTTGATCTAACACAGCATATATTTTCTTCCTGTCGGCATGGGAACACAATACAGTCACAGCAGTCCAGAATATTACTGTTGGACTTTGGTGGTTGTAGCTATGTGATCTTGAGATGCCTTGAACTGCCTGTAAATCTCATATAGGAAACCATGTGTAAGAACCAATAAAATATATATAATATTAAAGTGCTTATATCAGGGTTTTGGAGTTTGCATATCTCGAAAGTTTAGGGTATTTTAAGACACTTTGCAATATATTTTGTTATTGAAAAATTTCATCTTAATGGATTTATTAGCTCTTAAAGTTACCGGACATGATGTCAAAAGGAGAATTGCAAATCAGTTTTCCTTTGTTTCATTGCAACAAAATTCTCCTTTTGACGTCATGTCCGGTAACTTTAAGAGCTAATAAATCCATCAAGATGAAATTTTTCAATAACAAAATATATTGCAAAGTGTCTTAAAATACCCTAAACTTTCGAGATATGCAAACTCCAAAACCCTGATATAGGCACTTTAAATAAATGTGCGTGCACAATATAATATGTTAATGATTGTTTAATAACAACATCGGCATACTTCAGGGTTGACAGCAATGACCATATTCACACCTTATAAAAAATGCAAAATAGAAGTTCAGAGATGCATTTTAATTTATTACTCCGGTAAATATGAACACAAACTTACCAAGACGATACATCAACATGGCCTTTAAAACGATTTTGTAAATATTTTCGAGCTGTTTATCTTCTGCTACAGCTTCCTCAATCTTGTACTCGGCTACCTCTGCAGGTGAGGCAAGCGGCTCCAGCAATAGTGCCATCAAATGGGGAAAATTCTTTTCAGGTTCACTTGAATTCGCTGTTTTATAAACAGATGAGATGCAGGAGAATCTGTTTCAGACAAATACCCCGAAACGCTACTAGATCGCGACGAAACTGACATTTTAATTCTTGAAATATATGTGATGCTCTATGTTTGCTTAATAATTCTACTTATGCCCTTGCAGTGTGTTAAGACTATGATGTCAGTAGCCTCTCATGACAACATAAAATCAAGATGGCGGATTGTAATGGCAGATGTCGATTTTGGACATTTAAATGCTCATAACTCCACGGTTAATCATGTTCGCCTGAAATTTTACACAAGTATTTTTGGTGCAATAATAAAGTCATTGCTAGCAAAAAAGGGAATTTTCTCGATGACTTTTCGCCATTCAACATTCATCCACCATAGTGCTCCTCTGGTAGGTTTTAAGATTTCGTAATGCAGAAAATGATCTCTCGCGTTCACAAGAAGTAATTGGGAGAGTGCCTAAAATATGGAAAATAACCGTAATGTTTTCAAATCATTTGAAGCTAACACATTTCAAAGTTGTAATAATGTTATCTGGAAGAGGACCATTATGTGTGTTCCAGTAAATAAACCACTGCCTTAATTCAGCATCCAATTAAGCAAGGGGATTGGGCAAGTCATGATAGAAAGTAGCAACAATCTTAAACTGCTCTTTCCAGTCAATTCCGTTCTCACTCAATTCCTTTCTCACTCAGTGACATTATCTTCACAGGCAAAATACTTAAACCTTTATAAACGTTATCCAAAGATGATTGAAGATGATCTAATAAAGGATAGTAATGGTTAGTTTATAATGCTCTGAAACAGAATGGCTGGGAGGGTTTGATCAAGTGGTTTGCATTCCAACAACCCTTTTTTTTCAATGCTTCAATGCTTCTTCATAACAGGTGTTATGGTAGAAATCAGCGTTGGTCCTCATTTGTGTAACATTGTTTTTCAGCATTTGTATCAAGTGGAACCCATCCATGATATCGATACTTTTCCCTTGCAATAACTGGGTGACAAGAAGTGTAGCATCATGGATGTGTCTAGTAATAACTAGTGCAACTATAAAATCAAGTGAGCATAAGCAAAGATGATGCATCAGCAGAAAGAGAAGGCTTCGTCTCACCACTAAAATTGTTAGCTATGTCATGCAGTGTGTCAATTAATGGGATAAACAGGTCTTGAAAAGTGTCAAGACTTTCAACCCACTCAACCCATCTGGTTTTACAAAGACATACCAGCTTGGTCTTCTTTGTGTTGAGGTCAGAATCCTCAATATGATCAGCAAAAAGCATATTACGTGTCTCTGAAATATTAATAAAATTTTCAGCTTGGCCAACATGTTTCAGCATTTTAACTTTGAGTATAGAAAGTGTGTCACAAACAGATAAATTTAACTGATGACTGTAACAATGGGTGTAAAGAGCTTTTGGATTAAGTCTTAAAATATGAGCAGCCAAACCATTAATGTGCACAGCACCTGCACCACCACAACCTTGTCCCCTGCAATTATCAATTGGCAATGTTAAGTCATCCAAGGATTCTAAAATAAGTTTAGGAAGATTTTTACCACTTAATCCCCATTTACAATGCAAAAAACAAATGAATTTTTCTCTAACATTCCTACCACTGTCAACAAATAGCGGAACAAAGGATAGCTGTTCTTTGTGAGAAGAGTCAGCAGCTTCATCCGCAATGATGGTATAGTACCTACTTTCCTTAATCTCGTTAATAATATTTTCAGATATTACCTGACCAATACATTTAATAATCTTGTTTTGGCTCGTCTTGGATGTGTAGCTTCTATTTTTACCACATTCACACAAATGAGTTTTAAAAGTATTATCCCCAGCTCTCACCCTAAAATTGAGGGATTCAACAAAATTTCCAAAATTGATAGAGTAACAACCAACGTCAGAATGATACTTGGACCCATGCCAAACCTGCCACAAAATAGAACAGAATCTACAATAGGCCTAAGAATCTCCCTATTTTTTTCAATTTCCTTTTTGACATTTGCATCCATGATATTATCAATGGGTTGTAAAGATGCACCTGTCATTTGAGAAAGTAAAGCAGTTAGCATTGGAAAAGTACATGCATGCAACCACATTTCTCCCCCAGTGTTATTCCCAGCATGCCCTTTAAATTTAAAGTAGACATGGCATCATTCAAATAACGAAAAGGCTTAGATACTAATATAGTAATTTTAGAACTTTTATGTGGGAAACGGTCCCCAAAAAGTACACAAGATAAACAATACACACCATCTTGTGAAGCAGAATACCAAAGCCAGAGAAATAGATCAAGCCAGAGAAATTGATCAAGCCACTCTTGTTTTTCGCACTCAAACAAGGAAAAACATAATTTCTGTGCAGCCTAAAAACACTCTTAATTAATTAAAGTGCAGATATCAGGAGTATTCAATCATTTAACGTTTTGCCTGTAAGAGGCAATATCAAAATTACTAATTGGTAATGGTAAAGTGGTTTTTACCTGGTCATCAGATAGCTCTGAATTCTCTAATGATATTCAGGAAGCTGCTGTGGTTTTGAGTTAGCAGGAGGAATATCAGTTGTGACCATTGATGCAAGTCATGCTTTTGAAGTTGTGGTGTCAGTCTCTTTACTTCTTGTACAATCTCTTCTCCCAGTTTGTACTTTGGGTATGTAACCTTCATGTATTGCTTTCCAGTTTTTGGTCTTCTGGCCATCTCATCTTAAATTTTCATTAAAATGAAGTAAAGCTAAAAGCAGTCATAAAAAATAAAAAGCCATATTAAATATTACCATTACTCAGACAGGTGAAACAAGTACTGTAACTGATTTATCACATGAGATGTAACTTGCCTGCAGTAGGATCCCAACCATGAAAAACATAACATTTTGGGATGCCAGTGGTTTAATGTGGCATGGAAACCCTCCAGGCAACTGGCCTGTGCATTTGATGATAGTTTCTTAATCCCTGATTCCAATCTTGTATCACCAATTGTTTTTTTGCACTTTGTCAAAAGCAGGAGTTCCTATAATGATAGACATTTCACATATTAATATATTATAAGAATCTTGGCTTTTTTTAATACAGAAAGCAATCAACTGTAACAACTGCTAATTGGTGCCTAAACGATGTTCCACATAGAAAGCAATTTGTCATCCTGGAAAAGGTGGGCATATAAAAAACGGGTGCATAACTTACCTATTTTAATCCATTCTCGGGGTGTTTCCATCTCATTGTGTGCACATTGAGGAAACAGTTTGTTAGCACGTCCCTCATATCGATTGGCAACATGGTTTTTAAATTACCTCCACTTGGTCAAAATCATTTCCCCAAACCCTTGTTTTGTAGATGTTGCACACCAATACAAGTGATTTCGGACACCCTTGATCCAATGACTTCACAGCCTTTTTCTTTACCAGCTTTTAGAAATTTCTTTGTGATCGATCGTGATGTCATAAAAGTGGTTTGTTTGAGGTCTAGATTCTCCTGCCCATTTTGCAATGCCAGCATGTCTATCGGAAATAAAGAAGAGAAGCACTGTTTTGACCCCATCAAGCTCCATTTGGTTGCTTCCACCTGCTTCATTGCTCTGAAAGTAGGAAATACAACCATAGTTGCAACACTGCTGTGTCTTCACAATTAGTATACACTTGTTCTGTCCATTTCAGACAGAAATGGGCTGGAAATCTAAATCCTCGTCATATCTGTAACATGTGACATGTTGGTATAGTGAAATGGGAAACCACTCATATTAATTACCTGTAAAAGCTCAAAATGAACAATTGGTGAGCAGAACATTGAGTATGTGCCATACTTTGCAGAGGGACCCATAGAGTCAAATCTGCCATCACCACCCCAGACTACATTTTCCATCACCTTCACTTTCTCAACCAGATATTTTCTGTATGCCTCCCAATGATGCAGGACTGAGGGAATGATCATTTGTTTTTGGTGAATGAAAAGGTACAGCTTCTTATAGCACACATGCCCATATGCTTAGACACCAAAAGGATCTTGCTCACCGATGCCCCAGCCATCAATATTCCAAAGCTAAACAGAATGTTACCAGCAGGATACTTTCCAAGAACTAATGAACACCCAACACCACATTACATTTCAGGCAATTTTGAGATAAGGTTACCAGGGTCCCCCATCTTAAGCTTCTACTGTAGGAGTGTGCTCTCAACATTTGAAGCAAAACATAGAAAAAAGGCTGAGCAGCATTGATGAACTTTGGCTCCTTGTAAACATCATTGTCTGCTACATTAATCCTATCAAATAAAGACATAATGATCACTCATTTTAGGAATTGTGCAAACTTGTTAGTTGAGAGTATAATAATAATGGAAACTATTACTTTCAATAATATATATATATATATATATATACCAGTGTCTACTTGAATTAACACGGCTACATAATAATATTAGTATGACATTAGTTGTGGGTTATCCCATTCTTTGTTACGCTTACAAAATATATAATACGAGGACCTGATACATATGTTAATAATTTTCCGAACATAGTACTTTCTACATTGTTCATCAAACTTTAGATTTTTTAGCATTTCAGTGAAATCTAGCGAGGAATGACTGAAAACTCCTAATGAACAAATCGGTAAATTTACAAATTTTACTTTTTTCATAATTTTTGAGCTGTTCATTAATTCGATGTTGATATTCAAACAGAACAAACATTTGGATGTTGGTGATGTTCCCCCATTTCTGAAGGTTTTTGTGAGTCGGAAGAGTGTTATTTATATACCGGATAGTGAAATTAAATATATTCTTGGGAAGTTTACTTTGAACCACAGAATAAGGCACACAGAAGGGCCACTTATGTCGGAAGCTTTGAAGTTTCTGTCACCCTGGCCGCCATCTTCCTAGCCAGTCGATTACATTTTCTGGCCAATAAACGCGCTGTATTGGCTGGCCGCCATCTTCCTGGCCAGTTAATTGCATATTTTTGCATAGAAAAATGGTGACACGTTGCACCGCTGAGTGGCCCTTCTGGTACTGATCTTTATTCTGTGCTTTGAACAGAGGACCATAGAGAGTTGAATGAGAGTGTCGAATGTTTAATGATAAACATGAGCCTTGTGAAATTGAGGTGGTGTTGAAGCTTGTCTTCGTGTTGTTTCCTGATAGTGTTTAATACATCCTTGGTGTTTTTGTATTTGTCATATTGTACGTTTTTGTGATTGCTAGTTTCCTTCCAAAGGTTATTGATCACTTCATTTGGCGACGACTTTAGAGCTTTCAGAGAAACAGTTTGGCATTGAAGGAATTTGGTTGAAAGTAGAACGATATTTAATCCAAATTTATTGTGAGGAAGTAGGACGTTGCTAAGGTTGCAGAAATAGGAAGTTCAAGCCATTTCTGGATATATGTGGATGCGATACTATCTAGTTTATTGTTAACCCAGGTTTTGCCTATGTCAGAAACAGTGAAGTGCCAAGACATTTTGGAAAGCATATAACGACTGTATAGGAATTTTGTTTTTCGGATGTAATGGTAGATTATCAATTTCATTCAGGATATTAGTAAGTGTGTCATATACTTCAGATTTGTGATATTCGTCAGACATGTTGAAGTTAAAATAATGACCTAAATAGCGAAATGATTTACCAAGTTCAACACATGGTACAAGACAGTTATTTACAAATAGTTTTGGGAGATATTGAATGGATTTGGTTAATAGTTTCCTAATGCCAAATGTTGAACATTTGTCTACACATATAATCATATGAGCCCACTGACACCAGACTGTAAAGCGATTCAGGAGCATTTGGTTTTCTTTTTCTTGGCCGCTAACAGCCGCGTTGTCCGCAAACTGGAACCAATGAATAGGATTTAATGGATGCCATTTTCGCTGGATTTCCAAAATCCAAGTTTACGTTTTTTTCCAATTTAATATGTTGGATAAAGGTATTGAAAGAAGTGTTGAATACTAGAGGACTGAGACAATCGCTTGAAGGACGCCACAACCGACCTTAATGAAGGAAGTATTGAACTGTTTAGTTATTATGGAAGTTTGGAAATCAGTGTAAAGGCTACTGACAAGATTTTTTATGTGATCGGGAATGTGATGATATTTGACAACCTCATAAATAAGGTTATCGTGGACTTTGCCAAATGCATTTTTGAGATCTAATAGTGTTATGATAAGTGATCGTTGTTTTACTTGCGCTTTATTAATGATATGTGCCAACTGAGCTGTGTGTTCTAGTGTTCCTGAGAGTTTTGGAGTTAAACTTTTCTGTATGCATGTTCTGTTTCCTTTCTGTTTTTTTTTTGTTTTTCTGTTTTCTTTCTGTTTGTTTTTTATGTATGTTATAACAATAATAATAATAAGGGACCAGTCATTAATTACAGGGGGGAGGGCTGGTGCAAAATTGGGGAGGGTCACTAATTTTCATGCAGGGGAAAAGGGGGGGGGGGTCATGTAAATTTGTGCAAGAAAAAACATAGCAAATTTTTTAAATTAATGACATTTTTAATAAACAAGAATACCTAAAAAAGCAGGACAGTTATTATTTTATTAAAGTAAATGGGATCTTTTGGTTCGTTGACTCCTTGTTCAAGTAACACAAGGATGCCTGGCATGTTTAATGGATCCTCTAGGTGGCAAAATTAACACCTGAATTATAGCTATTGATTGGCCATACCGTATCATTCATCCATTTTCCTGTTTTGGCTTTGTCATATATGTACATATTTTAGTTATTACTGTATACTCATATTTTTTTTTATAAAATCAAACCCTGCACGGTGTAATAATTAATTTTATCCCTTACGGATCACTTATTATTGCCAAACGTTCCTATCCCTGTCATTTAAGCTCCCTTCACCATGTTAGGATGCAATCGCCTACAGTCACACACATGATCACACTACGATATAAATCCTACTCCACCCTTACCATCACAATCATTCATACTCACTGTACTATTGAGTAAGCTACCTCTGAAAGGATCTGTCATTTGCTCTACTTCAAAATTACCTGAGGAGATAAACAATAAAGTATGTGGTGTTGAAATGTCCCGCACTAACAAGACCTTTGGTAGGATAACTTAACTAATAACATGTAGCAGTTTATGTAGTTATATCATTTTTCACTATTTTTCCATCTTTCATTTTTGTTGCTGTGTAATTGGCTATTTTCAATAACCTTGTAATAATTTGTTTTTCTCTTGGTCTCACATTATTATCCAAACACCTAAACTCTCCTTCCTTCTCCTCTGAAAATTCTGCCTACACCCGCCTTAAAAAAAACCTGTGGAACGTATTCAGGGTTGCCTTTCCTACTCATTTTCAATCTCTTGCCTTTATCGTATCCCACAAAATATTTCACCTTTTTAGTGCCTATATAAATCGTAGTTTCAATAGTTTATTATGTATATTTCACCATAGAGGTCTGAGTAAAGGTGCTGTTACACTAAGCTACTTGTCTCGCAACTTGCAATGTTAAGAAAAACGATTTCAGGATTGCATTGCAAGGGATGTTACACCAAGCAAACATGTTCCATGCAACTTGCAATGATCATTATTAAAAATAGTATAAAAACCGCGAGTGGTAACGTTTGGCGCCATATTGTCAGTCAAAAGTCAATAGGAAACCACTCAGTGTATAAACATTGCGAGACTAGTTGCAAGAGGGATGTGCAACACTTGTGTTGCAACAAAATTGCGAGACAAATTGCATAGTGTAACAGCTCCTTAAATAACAACCATTTTGAAAACTGGTCTTCTAATCATTTAGGCTACTGGCTACACAATGTCTTACACCAGTATACTTGTCCCATTACTTATTTTACACCAAAAAAGGACGATTTAAATTATAAGGTACAAACTATAAAAACGCTGGCAAGGGGGGGTCGGACAAAAGTGCGCATCACTTTGGGGGAGGGTCAGAAAAAAATGAGCATGGTATATTTCATTTGCACCAGCCCTCCCACCCCCATAATTAATGACCGGTCCCTAATAATAATAATAATGGAAACTTTATTTAATTTTCTAAACTTACATCTGCAAATCTCACTATATAAGGTAATTTACAATTGGCAACTTGATATATTACTATTAAATGATTTTATAACGCACGATTACATTTACTCTATTACTCTATATACATACTTATACAATAAAAATTTTAAAGTTTCATCAAGTCTGGATTCACCCAGTTCTTATTTCGACAACAAAAAATGTAGTAGGTTGACCTTATTGCAATATTAATAATCTTTTTAATAACGTATCTTACACGAGCTTTATCTAAATTAAAATGTTCTAATATGTCTATAAAACCAGAAGATTCCTTGTCAAACACACCAAGTGCACAAATCAAAAGGTTGATGAAGTTTACCGAAAGATAATTTTTCTTTTGTTCCATAATCATATCTTTATACTTGGAGTATTTCCTGTTAAGGTTACAGGACACCCTTCTTGGCGTTTTGCAGAAAATCGTTACTGCGCGCTGAATATCAGTCCGATTTTCATCAAATTTTCACCAAATGTTCTCCAGTGCATGTAAAATCTGGTAAAGTTGTAAAATTAACAAACAATAAAATAATGTAAGCATTATATTTATATTATTCAGGAAAATCTGAAATCGCGGTACCGTTATGCTTTTTAGTTGTGCTCCTGCTGGTTTTAAGTTATTTTTATGAAAATATCATTTTTATACAGTAAAATAGTTGTTCTAAAAAATTGTGTTTGGAAATTTTTGTTTATTTCGTCATTCCGCTGATATGGCGATTTCTTTGACGACTGCAATATATTTCTGAATTGTTTGAGTGAATTGCTCTTTATTTTTAAAATATCCAAAATTAAAAAGCTGAACACAATTTTGAAACTGACGTATTTAGCTATGTCCTGTGAAAATTTGAGAAAAATTGGTTCAAACCCGCAGGAGCACAACTCGTTTGAAAATCAGTAATTACTGTAAATTTTTTCGGGAGAAAATTGAATTTGAATATTACATTTTCAATGTTTTTCTTATTGCAGCGAAATGTATTTTATTAAATAATTCGAGTTTTCAACATTTTTCGTTCGAACTTGGTCAGATAGTAGAACTAGTCTAATGCTTTCATTGAAACCAATAAAAAAAATTTAGGCAAAATTAACACTCAAAGGTGTTCTGTAACCTTAACATTATTTCTGAGGTTAGTCTCGTATCCAACGGTTAATTCCAGAATATACAGACAATTGTCTTTCGTCAAAATTAGTAAATCAGGCCGATAATCATCACCAGTGATTGTAGAAGGATTAGAGAATGACGACAAATCAGCATAAATGGTCCGGATATGTTCTGATGGAAGGTTATTAGCAATGAAATTTAGAATTGAGTCATGTCTCCAAGTAAATCGATCGAGGTAGGAATTGCAACCAGCGACGACGTGTCATAGAGATTCAGGATTAATGCAGAACGAGCATTCAGAAGACAAGGATAGCCCCTATCTTTGAAGGTTCTTACGGGTTGGCAGCAAATTGTTTATATAGCAAATGGTGAAGTTGAAAATGTTTTTATTATTATAATAATAATAATAATAATGATGGTGATGGTGATGATGATGGAAACTTTATTAATGAATTTGTTAAGTTACATACAATTGTAAATCTCACTTATAAGGTAATTCACAAAAGTCTACTTGAATCAAACATACACAGTATAACAATAATAACAAACAACAAATATATAAGTTCTTTGTGTGTTTGCATGGCGATAAAACATAATAGTTTTGTTTGTGGAAACACCACGTAAATAATAAAATTAATTTATTATTTTATTAGTATTTTATTTATTATTTCTTTATTATTTTATTAATTTGCAGTAATAAATTTACATGGTGTTTCCACAAACAAAAGTTTTGTAACAAATATATAGTACAATTTTTAAAAGGTTATTAGTTCTCCGGATTGGTCCATCCTTTGTTTTTGCAGCAAAATATATAGTAAGTTGTTCTGATCGCAATCGTCGTCATTTGTTTAAAGCAGTATTTTTGGTGGTTTTTATAGAAGCCAAGATAATTAGCATGTCCATGAAAGTCAAGCATTCTTTTGCAAAAACTCCAAGACTGCTAATTGATAGATGGACTTTCGTATCCTGGGAGATCCACATAAAGACATGATCCGCTTGACAGTCTGCAGGTTCGTCACAAGAAAGTTTAAGACAGAATCTTGTCTCCATGTGTGATCCAGATAGGATTGACAACCTGCTACTACATGCAAAAGGGTTTCAGAGGCTAGGCAATAAGTGCAGTCTGAAGTTGTCAATATAGCCCATCTTACAAGATTTTGCCACGTTGGTAAAGAATTGTTAATATATTGTACAGTAAAGTTGAATATATTTTTCGTCAGGTTCGATTGACATGTGGCCAAAGTTTTGTCAGTTGGGAAAGAGAGAACTTTGTAATATTGGTGAAGAAGATCCTTGGAATGTTAGTTGGTTATGCGGTCTATCCTCTTGTCCAGAGCAAAAATCCTTAAGAACTTGCTTGGTCGAGTGATAGATGTCGTACTGGATAATTTTGCTGTTACTGGTTGACTTCCAAGTTCGTTAATGGCTACGTTTGGAGATATTTTTAGAGCTTTACGGAGAACAGTTTTGCCATTGGGTGAATTTTATAGATGGAGGGCAAATATTGAGACCAAATTTGTTTCGGGTTAGGAACACAGTGCTCAGCGTTCCGGATATAAGTATATCAAGCCATTTACGAATATAACTGTTCACGTTGGAATCAATATTTTCTATGACCCAGTTTTTCGAAACACCAGTAACGATAAATGCCATGATAGTTTCGACAAAACCTACAGACTGTAGAGGAGGATTTTATTTTTTGGGGTGTAGTGGTTTAGAATAAATATCAACCATTAGTTCTTCAACAAGTGAGGTTAGTTCAGACTTTTGCTTTTCATCGGACATGTTAAAGTATCTTCCTAAGTATTGAAATTTTCTCCGAGACGGGTCGTTGGAATTAGTTGGTTATTAACGAGTAGTTTTGGCAGATACTGGATTGATTTGGTCAGGGCTTTTTTGGTGCCAAAGGTACAACATATTTATCCACCCGATTAATCATATTGGACTATTGGCACCACATGGAGAACCGGTTTAAGAGATGTTGATTTTCCGATTCTTGACTACTTATGACCGCAGCATCATCAGCGAACTGGGACCAGTGGATGGGATTTAAAAACTGGAAGGAGAAACCAAATTGGCAATATTTTTCAGCTTTTATATGTTGGATAAAGGTGTTGAAACATATTGAAGAGAAGAGGACTGAGACAATCACTTGCAGTTCACCACGGCCAACTGTTATGAAAGGGATACGGAATTCGACGGTAATTATCGAAGTTTGAAAATTAGTATATTAGCTTCCAACAGTCAATTTAATGTGTTCAGGGATATGATGATGATCAATTACGGATGTCACAAGATTAAGATGAACTTCACCAAAAGCATTCTTGAGGTCAAGTAACTAAGCAAGGTGATGACAAGCAAGCGTTGTTTGATTGGAGTGTTGTTTGATTCGAGCGTTGTTAATAATGTTGTATATTATGTTCTATAAAGTTATTAGTGGTTAGGAAGGAATACATGGTGTTGCATAGGCAAGACGTAAATACTTTTAGTGGAATGCTTTCCAGTGTGATGGGTCAGAAATTGGATGGGGTATTAGGATCACCTTTTTTAATGTATCAGTATTGTGCAGGCTTTTTTCCATTTGGAAGGAATGGTTCCAGATAACCACACAGCACGTATAAGGTCAGTTAGGTATGATCTTAGGAAATGAGAATGTTTAAAGCATATAATAGATAGTTGATCAAGCAGGCATGGAGAACTGGACGCTTTCATTCTACGGATTATATTAGGCAGCGTTTACACTGTACCGTTTTCGTAGCGTTCTCGTATTGTTCTTAATCCTCAAGGGAACGCAAGACAATAGTCTAGTTCTCTCGAACAATACGAGAACGCTACGAAAACGGTACGAAAACTGTACAGTGTAAACGCTGCTTTAGTGACTTGTTGCTATGATGGAGGGTCAAGGTCAAATTGAACTTTCAGGGTCAGATAATGCAGGAATCCAGCTTGGAATAGTGAACAGTTTATTTGGATGAATTGCAGCAAGCATTTTAGTGAAATAAGAAAAAAATTGTCATGTTGAATGATGGAAGAACAGTGCCTTTCCTATTTAAAACATTTTTGATAACCCCAGAAATTTTTCTGGATATATTTATCCTGATTTCGCATTTGGCTGTTGCTATGGCTATTGTCTAGACCTGACTCACTTGACTGGTTGTTATTATTTAGGCAAAGCTTGGCACGCAATATATAATAATAATAATAATAATGACTTTATTTAAACTGCAAAAAATGTGTCAGCCGTCACCGAGGTGACCGCTGATATAAATACAAGTGCAGCAATACTATATATTAAGAAAACCTAAGCTATAAATATACAATTAGAAATTGTTATCTTGATGTTTAAAGGTGCAATGTTATACAACACTACAATGATGGCTTGTAACATCAAAAGTTAAGAGATATTAGAAACAGCAACTTTAAAAGAATGTGGAGATTCTAGTTCTCAAATATGTTTTGGTGGACTGTTCCAGTCTTTTGCAGCAGAAGACTGGAAGGTTCTTTGTCCCATAGCAGATTTAGTCTTAGGCAAGTGCAACAGCGTATTGTCCCTGAATTGTCTACTATGCATACTTGTTAATTGCTCCGGGCACATAAAATTATTTACAATTCTAAAGCTCAATTGAAAGCACAGAAATAACAATGACAATAAACCTAGCTTGCTGTGCATGTGAGCACGATCTCCTGTCGAGTATAACTCTCATCACTCGGTTCTGAAGCTTTTCTATCTTATCAGAAACGTGTTTGTACTATGCACCCATAATCAAAGATTGGCACAATCATTTGTTTATATATGCAACACAGCATGTCTAGGTAAGAAGGCCGATATTCTGTTTAACAAAAGAAGTTTTGGGTAGACTTTCTTACACACCAATAAAAGGTGATTGTTCCATGTCAACAGACTGTTCAGTTTTATGCCAAGACAGAACTTTGTGTTAATCTCCTTCAGTTTGTGATTTTGGAGGTTAACGGTAATGCTAGTAGCAATTCTCAGAGCAGGGAGAGATCCAATCTTCAGCACCTCAGACTTACCTGGATGCCTCAGATTTGCCTGCTATAGTGTTCTCACCACCATTCCTATGAAGGGAAAGCACTTTTTTAGATAAAGCATATTTAAATATAACTTTTCTATACCTGATCTGGTTTCTTCCTTGCATTTCTGGCTCGTTAATTTCATTGTCTGACGATTCAGAGGAATTTTCATCAACTGGACATGATCTTGATCATTGTTGTAAAAACAATTTTCAGCATCAATATCATCTCCACTGTCTCCATCATCTTCAGCTGCTTCATCAAAATGGCTTTCCAAAGTTTCACCAGCTTCCTAAAATTACAAGTATGGTATGAGATAAGAAATTCTGTACAATTAATTTTGAAATTAATCCATACTCATCAACAATGCCCCCCCCCCCCCTACATAATTGAGTTGAAAAGCTGGCCACAGTCATCATCCTAAGGCACTTTCTTTGGACACACTATTAGTTTGTCTGTAAAGTAAACATGTGTTTGCCTTGACATGAATGAGAAAAGCCCAAACATTGTTGTTCACTTGACACACATAATATGGTATACAGCTTGCTTGTTTTTGTCTGATTTTGGTTCTCAGTCCTTTCACTATCTTTTTCAATCTTTAATACTTCTCTTACAATTTTTGTTGTACATGATGTGAGCAAGACACTCTTGGCACCTGTTGACACCAGCATCACCATGCACATCATCCTCACCAGACAAACTCACAGAAACACCAGCACCCAACTCACTGCAACTCACACCCTTCACCCATCTCACCAGAACCATTCCCCAAAGTACCATTACTCACCCACCCTATCACCCACGTCATCAGCAACACAATCCAAAGCACCAACATCCAATTCATAATTCTCATCTGCTGTGTTCAACTTGCATTTAATGACTGCATAATGGCGGACGGCAGCAAAATTTTAAACTCGCCTACAGTAAGGAATTTTAGTCTTGATCGTGTTGATATACCCTCAATAAAATTGCTAAACATTAATACACACTTAGTCTATGATGGTACACGTATAAAGTGGTCAAATGATCTGATATCTCTGAAGAATTTTACCGAAAATGTTGTCGGTTTGGTTGGTTGCTGGAGGTCGCCCGGTGGCAAATCTAAACAGCATCACTTATTAAATGAAACTGATGTGCCGAAAAACGCTGTGAGAATTTTTTTATTAGACTTCTCCAAAGCTTTTGATCATATCGATCATAACATCCTCCTCAGTAAATTATCTGATATGGACGTTCCATCATTAATAACAAACTGGATAAGAAGTTTTCTTACTCAACGAAGCCAACGGGTCAGAATGCCCCATTGTGTGTCAGAATGGCAAATCCTCAACGGTGGAGTACCCCAGGGAACTGTTTTAGGCCCAATCCTCTTCCTAATCATGATAAACGATCTCCTCGCTGATTGGAAAGACCGATGGAAATACGTTGACGACACCACCACTACCGAAACCATTGGCCCAGATTGTAACAGCAACCTTCAAGAACTGGTTAATTACATCAATAATTGGACTACGAGTAATAATATGAAATTAAACATTGGAAAATGCAAAGAACTGGTTATTGATTTTGCAAAAAAGAAGCATTGCTTTCCCCTTTTAACAGTCGATAAAGTTAATATTGAACGAGAGAAATCTGCCCGTATCCTTGGCCTCACAGTCCAAGATAACATGAAGTGGAATGAACATATAAATAACATAGTTAAAAAAGCTAGCAAGAGGCTCTATATGCTAAGACTGCTAAAAAGGTCCAACGCGTGTATTGACACGTTAATTACTGTATATACTACCATTATTAGGCCTGTTTTAGAGTACGCATGCCAGGTCTGGCATTACAATATCCAACAATATTTATGTGACGATATTGAAAAAATACAAAAACGCGCGTTGAGAATAATCCTCCCATCGCAAAAGTACGACGAAGCGCTGATCACGACTAACATCACGTCACTGAGAGATCGACGAGAAAAATTATGCGAACATTTCTTTGAGAAGAATATTGACAATGAAAATCTCAAAGATCTTTTACCACAAACAGTTTTATCTGGATATGATCTAAGACCGATATGTAAATATCATAATTATGTTTGCAGAACCGAACGTTTTAAGAATTCGTTTTTACCTCAAAGTATATTAAAGATTAACAGTAAATAAGTTTTTAGAAATGTAAATAATCTTAAATATGTAATTATTATGTAATTTTAACTTATCCTCTTAATTTATGTAATACTGGTGTAATTTAACCTTTTTGGGTTACAAAGTCAGTAGTCATTAAATCAATTCATATTCATATTCATTTGGTCCAGGCAGGTATTCTCATGTAGCAGCACATCTCAGATACAAAACCAAATTTATACCATTTTAATTATTATAAAATATAGAAGACATTAAACAAAACACCATGTTAATAAACAATACTTTGACATGCATGTGTCTCTAAAATGTTATTGCAATTAAAATATTTAAAGGGCCACATTACAAAATAAACAAACAGTTTATAAGAGTAACATCACAAACATAATATGTTTCGTTTTTGTAAGAAAGCAGAATAATAATTATATCCAGAAATACTGCGATTATTATGAATATAAAGTAAAATTTAAATTATCGAAATATGAATGACAAAGTATGTATACCTTCCAGCTGGTTTACGACATACACAGTATAATATATCGCTCAAACGTAGGACCTATTTTATTCAGTTGAATTGTATAAGTAACCAGGGGTGGAAAAAATATTTTGCTTTCTGGGACCACAAGAGAACATTGAAAATTTTCTGCAAATAATCAAGTATCTTGACACTCGGACTGTAACTGGGGGGGGGCAAGGGTATTTTCGTGACTCGTGATTAGCAATTATTCGTGTTTCGTGATTTAAAGAAATACCATTCTGTGAATCATGATTAATATGAATCGTGAAGAGCTAAAAGGCCAGCTAGGCTTCAGACTGGAAAAACTCATTGCCATCATTCATCCATCCCCAATGTGTGGGTTCCAGCGCTACTCTTGTGGCTTCGATACAGTTGTACCACTTTCATGCTTATAACTCAGATCGTTTTACATGTTCGTTCAATGAAGCAGCTGTTGGGGGTATATTGTCAATTGTCTTTCCCTTGCTTGTGAAAAGGTATCGCCTTGCATTGTTGACGTTGTCGCCATCAAATGTGCTGCAATAAAGAGCTGCAACAAACTGTTCCAAAAAATCACTTTCACATATATTGCCTTCTGACGTTGCTACTTGTTCAAACACTGCAGTTAAGCTGGGCAATCGTTTCCATGTTTCGCTGAATGATTTATTGCCTTTATGTTTGAACCATGATGTGGTATCATCACAGCCACTGGAAAAACACGAAAGAAGTTAAGCAGTGGATGTTTGAGCTCCTAGGGATGTTGCAATTTCGTGGATTGAAATGTACTTCAAATGCTTCCAAACTCAAGCTATAGTTCATCAAGGCCATGGATCCTGTGGAAAGCTGCAAGTGCAACAACAACAACGTCACAGTCTACAGTCTTGACCAAAACAGGTGGACAGAGTTCAGCAGCATGTTGGACATGGAGAAATATACGTTTATCTGCTTCTTCGATGTTGCATGGCATCAATAATTAAAGATCTACATCCTGATTCGCCACTACCCTGTCGTCTACAGACCCCAAGAATAGTCCACATGTATCAATGCTTTAAACCAGTACTTTAACAATGCAGGGAAATAGTTCTGTTTAGCCTGGAACCCACACATTGGGGATGGATGAAGGATGGCCATGATTATTTCCAGTCTGGAGTCTCATGCCCGACGTATGCCAAGTGACTGAAGCACTGATTTGTTGTGGTGCACCAAATGTGTTGTGGCAAAAAGAATGGGTTAAAAAGCAAAATGTTAGATAATGCAAATAAAGCTGCAACACTTTTGTCACGGTAGCTTGGTGCGTTGGGGTGAAAAACCCTAACATCAAAAAATGCGCTTTGCTGCTGTCCCCAAAGTCTGATAGTCTTAATATCGACCCGGGCATCTTCTTGTTTATTTGCGGAACGGGGAAGGATAATCTCTCCAGATAAGGGTTGCAATGGTGGTTCAGTTTGCGTCTCTCTGCATACTTCACTCATCCAATCAGCGGTAAGATCACAGATTTAGTTATGACGAGATATAGTCATTCCTCCGTGTGGGCATATCATGGCATGATCGGTCGAAAAACTAGTTCCACATATGCAATATTGGGGAAGATATTTCCGTTGCCATCTGTTGTACCTGAGGCTCAAAGCATCACGAAACTCGCCCTTGTTTAGACTGAAGCATTGGTCTTTCAGTGGTAGGGCAGATAACCATGATGATGAACCTTTCAGCTCCAACAAATGTCTGTTGCTTTATTTGGGACAAGCTTTCTCTCACCTCTGTGGCTAATTGCTGGTGGTACTGGTTCTTTTGCCTTCGCAGATCGGCTTTTATGTTGTGTAGATAAATTTTCTTATAAGTTGTCGTTTGGCTAATGATCATCTTCTTCAGAGGTTCAGTAATCTTTAATGATGCGTTATAATGACTATTTGCAACTTCAACAGGATTAACAAGGTTGAGCCCACCATGACGCATTGGCAAAGAGAGTATTGTTCTTTCTACGCTGGAACAAGGTCCTCTGCCCGTTAAAGCCGGAATGAGTTTGGCCGAAATAGCGTTCTCCAACGGTTGAAACATGCTACCGATACCATCAATCGTTCGCATAAGATATTGCCATTTACACACAATAGCACGAGTAAATGTGGTATATGCAGCATGTGGATACGTTTCAGCTATTTTAGATAATATCTCAATTTCTTCCTCCCACTCATCTATCTTATCAGCTACATATTCATCAACAAAAGAACGTTTACCGCAGGGAGTGTAATGAATTGTTAATAATTGACATTTATGATAGACGAGTGTAAAGTGGGTGGAGTTTCTATGTAACAAAATGTATTCATATATTTTTCAAGTAAACAAGTTGTGTCCTTCAAACCAGCACGTATTTGTGATTTAAGAGAGATATTTATAGACATTACAATACATTTGGTCCTTCGAACCCGAAGCAAATTACAGTCGGCCGACATGGATGTCGGAAAATCAAGAAAAATTCGAGAAGGACACAGACAAGCAACGAGAAAACTAATTCATACAGCAAACGAAGCTATCAACGCGGTGTCTGAGGCGGAAACGCTCAGTCGCGAGGACAAAGTGAAACTACAATTAAACAAGAATCTTTTGACGGAACAAGATAAAAATTTGGACGAGTTTAATTCTAAAATATTAGCTGGGATAAAGAAAGTCGAAGATATCGAAGAAGAAGTGCTCGAGGCCCTTGAATTTAAGCAGGAAATACAGCATGTTTTAGTACAAATCAAATTGTTGTTAGAAGACGACGAAATAGCTAGACAGTGTAGACAAGAATTGCAAAATGTAGCATTGCCATCGCTCAGTGAAATTAGTACCAGTATGAAAAAGATGAATTGCAAGTTGCCAAAATTATCTTTACAAACATTCAACGGCGATCCAGCAAATTGGAGTTTGTTTTGGGATACGTTTGAATCGGCGGTTGACAAGAACTCACAGCTCTCAGAAATCGACAAATTTAACTATCTCAAAGGACAACTTAGCGGAAAAGCGGCAACAACAGTAGCAGGTTTTTCATTGACGGCGGAGAACTACAGGGAAGTGATTAAACTGTTGAAAGAGTGATACGCGAATCCTCAACTTATCATTTCGAGTCATATGGAAAAACTTCTGAAGCTAAATACAGTACACGATGCGAACGATGTATTGAAATTACGGGTGTTATACGATCAGATTGAAACAAACATTCACAGTTTAAATGTGCTAGGCATAAAACCAGAGCAATTTGAATAACTTTTAGTTCCAGTAATCTTAACAAAAATTCCCAGCGAGCTACAAATCATAATAAGTCGAAAATTTGACAAAAATACTTGGGATTTTAATCTGCTTTTCGAGACATCTAAAGAATTGTTACAAGCAAGAGAACAATGCACGGCAGTTTCACTTTATGCAAGTAGCAGTTTAGCAAATAAAGGTCATAATCGAAGTAACTTTGACTATATGAAACCAAAGGGTGCATTTTCAGCGTCTAGTCTAATGACTGTGCATAAACAATCAATTCCATGCATGTATTGTAGACAGAGCCATGCCCATGCAAATTGTCAAGTTGTCACAGACATTAACGCGCGAAAACAAATTCTACAAAATAGTGGCCTATGCTTTAAATTGTTTGCGAAAAAACCACATTGTAAGAGAGTGTAAATCCCCGGGACGGTGTAGTAAGTGTCAAGGTAAACACCATACAAGCATTTGTGAAATCCATAATCGTAATAGTTTTATGATGCAAGAAACGTAGTACGAGACACAAGAACCCAAAACATGCAACACACACAGTTTCCTACTACCCCACACCCCCAGATTCCTACTACCCCACACCACCAGATTCCTACTACGCCACACCCACAGATTCCTATAACCCAACGACAACAACAGCAATCCCATCGAGAAATACTTTGAGCGGAAGTTTCTGAAGCCTCAGTGGCTAACCCAACTACGAACTTGTACACAACAGCTAAAACCGGTATATTATTACAAACAGCTCGCGCAATTATATCAAACCCGAATGTTGGAGAACGTTCTAAGAATATTCGCTTAATTTTAGATTTGGGGAGCCAAAAAAGCTATATCACGGAGAGCTTGACCTTACGGCAGTTAATAGGGAAACATTGGTTGTGAAGACGTTCGGTAAAACAACAGAGACGGCACGGACTTGTGATGTTGTTCAGACAAGTGTGCGACTATGAATAGTGATCTTAATCTATATGTCAGTTATGTAGTTCCAGTGATATGTTCACCCCTTACCCACCAACCAGTCCAGTTTGCCTCAAGTCACTACTCCCATTTAAGAAATCTCTACCTTGCAGATTCAGGAAGCAATGGCCAAGAGCCTTCTGATATTGATATGTTGATAGGAGCAGATTTCTTTTGGCATATTGTCTCGGGCAACGTCATACGGGGGGAGCACAGCCCTATCGCGATGGAAACAAAGTTAGGATACGTCCTTTCTGGCCCTGTAACAACTCCCCACACAAGCGATGACACTGTCACCAACTTTCTCACCACCCACCTTCTACGAGTTGACACAACCGAGCCAGAGGATTCATTGAATGTGGACTTGCACAGTCAGTTGAAGAAATTCTGGGAATTAGAAGCGATCGGTGTTAACCCTAACAAGAACCCAGTACATGAGCAATTTAAGGAGACAATCGAGTTCAAGGACGGTCGCTATGAAGTATGTTTACTGTGGCGAGAAAGTCATCCCGTCTTACCCGACAATTTTGAATTGAGTGAACGATGCCTTGCATCCCATGTGAAACGGTTGACAAAGGACCCCAAGCTACTCCAAGAGTATGACGAGCTAATCAAGAAACAGATCGAGACAGGAATAGTTGAAAAGGTTCCCGAAGGTGCCAGTTGCACGCCTGGAAAGGTACATTACTTGCCCCATCATCCCGTGATTTGCAGGGAGACAAGCAAACAACCAAGGTCCGTGTAGTGTACAACGCCAGTGCGAAAACCACCAAAACATCTCTAAACTCATGTTTGAATGCGGGACCTTCTCTTTTACCAAAGATAGTCAATGTTTTGATTCGTTTTCGTTTCCACAAGATTGGGTTGATAGCGGATGTAGAAAAAGCGTTCCATCAAATTTCCATATCCACGGAGGACAGAGATGCCTTGCGCTTTCTCTGGATAGATAACATTGCAAGTGAAAATCCAGTCTTCGGTGTGACTAGCAGCCCGTTTCTGTTAAATGCCACCATAGCTCATCACATCAATAGTTTCGTGAATGATCCTGACTTCATCACCGCCTTCCTGTCTTCCTTGTACATGGACGATTTTAGCGGTGGAGCCGGTACAATACCGACAGCGTACGAGTTATATCTGAAGAGTCGACAGCGCATGTCAGAAGGGGGATTTAGTCTCCGGAAGTGGGCAACCAACGATCCAACTTTGCGAGAGGAGATCGCAAGCCACGAGGTTGATAACTCTGTAACTGAGAGAACGTCCGAGAAGCAAATTGCTGAAGACGACCAAACTTATGCCGCATCATCATTGGGTACGAATGTAACGGACAGTTGTGAAAATATTCGTAAGGTGCTTGGATTACAATGGAACACGATGGAAGGGTTCGAGGAGCTGTTGTCAAGATTGCAAAGGAAGACGGGTTACGATGTTACGACAGACCTATTAAAAAGTTGTATCCCTTGGAGGTGAATTACGAGTCTAATGAAACCGAATCTACAACCGATCAAGAGCCTGAGATTGTGCCTGTTCGAAGATCAACAAGAACTGCAGCAGTTGTGGGAAATCACCGCAGACAATTAATTGACCAGTGGATAAATGAAATGGACTAAAGATACTATAAATACTTTCCTAACACTGGTCAAGGGGGGAGTGTAATGAATTGTTAATAATTGACATTTATGATAGACTGGTGTAAAGTGGGTGGAGTTTCTATGTAACAAAATGTATTCATATATTTTTCAAGTAAACAAGTTGTGTCCTTCAAACCAGCGCGTATTTGTGATTTAAGAGAGAGATTTATAGACATTACAATACAGGCAGCACCAAGTATTTTATGACCATCAGTGGTAATCTTGATGCCAGTTTCCTTGAATAAATCCTTCGCTTGATCAAAGAACTCCTCTTTGACTACCATTGTTGTCTTGCTTGCATTTGGAAAATAGCCAAATTCGGGGCCAAGTATTGTTAAGCGCTGCCACCAAACCCTGAGGGCTCTTAATCTTCCTGCTGCACTGGAATCGTCTGCAAACCATACCTGACTTGCATTGGGAGCTTGTTCCTTTAATCTTTTGATTAGTGGGGTTATAGCTAATGCGTACATAGCCATGGCTAACAGGTCGCCTTGTGTGGTGCCTTCCATTGACACTATTTCTCCCCCTTGTGCAACAAACATCCTCACAGGAGCCTTATAAGTGTTATTCAAGATGGTCGATATCGCAGGGCATATTGAATGTTATGTAATGCTGCTTGCCTGTTTAGTGTATTAAAAGCTTTTGTAGCATCGACAAGCAGCAATGCTTCCGTCTCGTCTGTATCCATAATCTGATTAAGGGCATGAACAGCCGCCTCACAACCTGCCTCATAACCTGCACATGTTTGCAAGGGACCAGCCGCTTATTGGACATCATCTTGAATTACTCTAAGGACTGACTTCGCTATAATGCATCGTGGCACTTCACCTATACCAATAGGACGTATACCAGGATTCTTATCCAGAGGAATAAGTCTACATGCCACAAAAGCAGAAAGACTATCAGGGTGAACTGATGAGGTACATAGACATCTAGCAACCCCAGCTAATGCATTACACAGATCTGTAGAGGCGGTTTTAAATGACAAGTAGAAGCGGCGCCACAGATACGCATCGATCCCAGACGGGCCAGCAGAGCCTTGGATCTTAGTAGCTGCTTCATGTATCAAATCACTAGTTATTCTTTCAAATACAATTGGGTCGTAGTAACTCGTCAGAATTTGTATCTTGCAAAAGGATGCCATCGCTGGGAATATGCCCCGGTGGATGTTTTTCCATAAGAATTTCTCTAGTTGTTTTCCATTGAATATTACCCTCTTTGTCTTCACCAGCTGGAATTAACATGTCCATATTTAAAAGGCCTCGACGATTTGCATTGGAAATTAGATTGACAGCTTGACCAACTTTGCCTTGCAGCATTAAACGATTGAAGCCCTGTTAAATTTGAAGCAGGTGAATTAAATAAATGTTTTTGAATGCACTTTCCCTCCAAAATTTATTTCTTTGAATTTACCCTCTGTCCATAAAAAAGTCTATGCTCCAAGCAAGCAACATGGTCTTTCGTTTCACTTTTTCGCGTGAGGTTTTTGTAGTAGGGCGCTTTGTATCACTGAACATGCTTTAAGGGCAATACATTCAAGTGGCGACTCATCTGCATACGCCTGATATAAACGAGCTAACTCTTTGATAAACGCTTTCCCCGACTTTACCCGATGGAAGGGTAAAAATATTTCTTCTCCAGGATACTATTTCTTCATATGCGTCATTTGGAGCATGAACGCATGCCTCTTTATTCAATTCTCCCCATTGAAAGTTGTTTGATGCATGTAAAAAGTTGGATAAAACCAGGCCATTTATGTTGTTTACTTGGTCGATTACATTAACATCAGCGTCATTATCAGGTTCAATTTCTACATTGTTATATTCGTGTTGGTTGTTTTGGTTTTGAGCTGAAACACACATCGTTTTCAGAGAAATTTATAGATACGTCACTGGTGTCTTTCGAGCAGTTAGTATCCGGCAATTTTCTTTCTTTATTCTTTAGAACTTGTGCTACTTTATCTCGTAGATTTTGAGCTGAGAACCGATATGATGCATATCCTTTCTCTTCCCATAAATCTTTCATTATTTCCATATAACCCTTTCGCCTATCGCTCACATTTTCTGCTATATTTGATGTATCTGCATGTTTTGCTAGAGCTAATGCTCGACATGTCACAAGATCAGCGATCATTTGGGCTGTCCATTTTGTACGCTTCTGCCAAGCTTTCGTTTTAGGCGGCATTGAGTCTTCGCTTTGCCTCGCATATCTCATTGGGTTTTATACTTGTAGCGATATGCTCAATCAACCAAACAGAGATCAAGCACTTATAAAAATATATTTTACCATTGGTAAAAGCAAAACCTTTCCATACAATGTAATAGTACGGATATGAAAAAAACTTAAAAAACGCAGTGACTGAAATTTACACACAATCCAGTTTGAAAATAATGTGAAAGATGCCCATCCACAGCCGCAATCTGGAATTACCTGGTATGGAAAGGCCCTGGTTTTACCAAAATATAAATAATCAGTTGCGCGAGGTTCAAAAACAAGAAGAAGGGGGAACCAGAAACTTCGAACACAGTTACATTTGACACAGGTTGTCTTCCATGTACGTGGGTTATCAGGGTCGAAAGTTAAGGAAAGAGCGGAGTAGTAGTATTCTTTCAGAATATTCTTGAAAGCGGCAAGAGGAGATTTCTTGTGGTTTTGGGTTATTTCTTTCGATAGTGCGTTCCATGTCCGTGTTGATCATATTAAGTAAGATCTGCTGTACGTTGATGTTCTGTATCGTTGCTCTTTGAAGGTAGTACCAACCGCATTATGCGACAATCTTGTTGATCTCTCAGATTTCTTTGATTTCGGTAGAAAAGTATCTTCACATGGATAAGATTGTTTATTAGTTTGAAGAAAAAGACCATGTCTAAATACTCATGTCAGTGAGTTAATGGAATTAAGTTACATTGAATTAGTCTGTCTTTGTATGAGATGTCGGAGTTAAATGGCAGATGGAGAATATATTTAGTTGCACGTCGCTGAACCTGTTCAATCTTTCTTATTTGCTCTACAGTTTGAGGCGCCCAGACTTGCGTCGCGTAACCAAGATCAGCATGTACAATTGTTAAATAAATTGTTCATCTTGTTGTGAGACTTTAAATTTTTTGTTGTTCTTTTCACGTACCCCATGATCTGGTTTGCTTTTGTACTCTGCGATTCTACCTGCTTCTTCCACGATAGATCAGACGAGATCCATACTCCAAGGTCACATTCTTGGAAACAGTGGTCGAGCTGCATATTTCCTATGGAGTATAAGGCCATAATGGGCTTTCGTTTACACAATATTGTCTGAACTTTACATTTAGACTAAACATAAGATCAGCAGACGATGACCAGTTGTTTCTATTGGTCAGATCTTCTTGTAGGAGAGAGCTGTCTGCTTCACACTGTAGTGATGTTGTAATACTTTATTCACATGTGCCTACACTTTATATACTAACTGATTCACATAAATTATACATAATGAATTCCTAATACACTACATCTTCCCCCGGGAACAATTTCCAAATATTATTCTACTTCCTATATATTCTATAATACATATTTTTTCCTTCTTTTTTTTTAAAACATAGTATTAATACATACCGGGTGGCGCAAAAAAAAGTATAACTGTTTGATTACATATAGCTCAAAGACCATAAGCAGTAGAACCCAAAATCGAGTTTCATTGCATCCAGCGATGTCTAACTTAAATTTTGGTATACTCGACAGGCATTTTCGTCCAAGATTGACTGAGATATGAGTGTTTAAACTTTTGTTAGCAAATTTGAAACGGTCACAAATTAGCTAAAAACGGCCTATTAAACTGATTTTTAGCTAATTTGTGACCGTTTCAAAATTGTTAACAAAAGTTTAAACTCTTATATCTCAGTTAATCTTGGACGAATATGCCTGTCAAATATACCAAAATTTAAGTTAGATATCGCTGGATGCAATTAAATTCGATTTATGGTTCTACTGCTTATTGTTTCTGAGTTCCAAGTAATCAAACAGTTGTACTTTTTTTTGCGCCACCCGGTATAACTAGATAAAGTTCAATAATAGACGAAGTCCTTAGATCTTGTGGACTTTGATACACGTCCTGATCTCGTTCTTATCACAGTATCCTTTGCAGAATTATCTGTTTCTACCCCATTGTTAGACTTAGGTTTAACCTCTTTATTATTTAACATGTCATCGAATATTAATGCCCGTTCCGCAATCGGAGCACAAGTCAGAAACTTTACATTTCTAATATATGTTTTCCCGTCTAATGTATTAACTACCTTGCAAGTATCTCTTCCTACAAAGTCTATAATCACATACTTAATATTGTCAAATTTAGACTTGAGCTTACTATTACTATCACACTTACTCCTAGCAAGATACACCATATCACCAACCACAAACGAGTGCGCTTTTGCTCGTTGTTTACGATCGTGATAAGACTTCATTCGCTTTTGATACGATTGTGCATTGCTTGAGCTCACATCAACATTCAACTTAATTGACGGAAGCTCTGTACGTATCTCCCTATGAAAAAGCAAACTTGCCGGAGTTTTTCCCGTCATGGGATGAGGAATACTCCTGTACGACATCAAAATTTTAGGGAGCTCCTCCTCCCAGGATCTACCCTCAAGAGTAACAGCTTGAAAATTCTTTTTCAAATACCTGTGAAACCATTCGATTTTCCCGTTACTTCTTGGGAAATAAGGCGAACTACGTACATGCTTAATTCCTTTAGAGCTCAAGAAACGCCTAAATTCCTGACTGATAAATTGTGGTCCGTTATCTGAGACAATTTCCTCAGGATAACCATGCCTAGCAAATATATTCATCAAAATTTTAACAATACTTTTGAGGTTATGTCTCAGGTAATGGCCACTTCAGGAAAAGAAGAGTAATAGTTGAGATAGGTTACTAAGTACTTATTATCTATCGGACCTACGATATCAACCGCACCTTTAAATCACAGCGCTTTGGGTAACTGCACTGGCTGCAAGGGTGTATTATTATTTAACGGTCTACTTGCAGCGCATGCTGGGCAGTCTTTAATCGTAGACTCGATATCCCTATCCATACCTATCCAAAAAAATTTTGACCTTAACAACTGCTTGGTTCGCACTATACCAACATGACTTTCATGAGCAAGTTTCAAAATCCGCTTCTTAAGAGAAGTTGGAACGACAATACGATTTCCGCGCAATAAAATACCTTCGAAAACTCTTCCCGAAACTTTTCAAAAGGTTTAATATCAGCATCAGCTGGCCATGCACCCACGTGAACCAAATTCATAATTTTAGTCAAAATTTTATCTTTTGTCGTTTCCTCTTTCACCTCTGATAACCACAACGCACAATTGTCAGGCACATCATTTTCAACCACAAATTTGACATACTCATCCGCAACGTTGAGAAAGAGTCGGCAATATTCATTTTACCTTCAATATGTTTTATCTTATACTTATATTGATGGTTGCAACCTCCACGCCAAATGTTGAATCCGTGGGGGCAACATCTTTTTACAATCTAAGGAAAGCAAACTGACTAATGGTTTGTTGTCAGTGAGCAACGTAAATTCAGTACCAAAAACATAATTATGAAATCTTTCAGCCGCCCAAACACATACCAGTGCCTCGCGTTCAATCTGCGAATATCGCACTTCAGTAGGTGTCAGAGATCGACTTATATACGCGACAGACTTTAGCTCACCTGTTGTTTGCTCCTGTAACAGAAACCCACCTAGTTCTACTGGACTAGCATCTGTCACAAGAACAGTGGGACCATCTAACTTAAAACAAGCCAACACTGGTTCGTTAGAAAGTGCACGTTTCAACTCCTCAAAC